CGCGCAGCCCCGCCCGCCCCCCGGTACCTACCGACCCTTCCTTCGGCCTCCCTCGCTCTCCGCCTAAAATGGCGCCCGGAGCCCTGAGCGCATCGATGGGAGGCGCCGGCGGGGGGGGCGGCGGCGGCGGCGGCAGCAGCAGCCGAGAGCGCAGGAGGCTCCGCCGCGAAGGCAGCTGCATCGAGCGCCCGCACATCGATGGGAGCCGGCCCTGGAGGGAGGGGAGGGACGACCGCGTCAACGCGCATGCGCGCGGGCCGCCACGCCCGGCAGCCACGTGACCCGTACATGGGCTCCCCCAGCACGCGGGCCCGATCCTGGGGGGTTGGGGCAGCTTGGGCAGGGGGGTCTCATGATCCCTGCGGGTGAAGGGAATCTGATGGAGATGGATGAAGGACAGCAGAGGCTGCTGTGGCTCCAGGGGAGAGAGCAAGTGGGGGACTGGGCAGCCCAGGCCTGAAGAGGGTGGGTTCAGATCCCTGCTGCAGGCAGGTGGGGTCTCAGGGAGCTGCCTGGGTGCAGTGGTGGCTTTAGGGGTGTTGGGGCCCCGGGCCAGAGGGTCCTTTGGGGCCCCTTAGAGGCTTAAATTTGGATGACCTGTAAGCACAGACATTGGTTGCAAAATGTTGGGGGTCCCCTAAAGTGCGGTTGCCCCTTTTGCCCTCCCCTAGGGCCATCACTGCCCGGTGCTCCTGTACGGGGTCTGCCCTGCCATGCATCCATGCAAAGCAGTGGCGTAGCACGTCTCCAGCACCCAGGGGCCAATGGTTACATTTGCGCCTGCCCGTCCATGGGCAATCGCTGAGCCCAGAAAAAACGGTGGCGAAACCGGAAGCGCCGCCAGGGGACCGAATACCCATGGAGGGCCCAGCCGGTGCCCAAGGGCATGCCCCCTGCCCCCTCGGTGCTATGCCACTGACGCAGCAGGCCACCACGGGCAAACGTGGGCTCCTGCTGAGTTTCATGGCAGCGCCAGTTGACTCCCCACGTCAACCAGGCAGCAAAGTCTCAGGCACGGCAGGCTCTTCCTGGGCGCCCCCCCGCCCGCCCCAAGGGACAGCCGTACTCACGTCAGCCTCGAGGAAGGGCAGGCGCAGGGCCCGCGGGTCGATGGGGGGGGAGCCCATGTTCCCCAGGCCCCGTGGCAGCGGGCGTCTGTCGCAGGCTGGGACGAGGCGGCGGCCCGACATCCTGGTGCTCGCTGCCAGCACCGGGTCGCTTTCCTGTGCTCCGTCGGCCGCCCGGTGCTGTCAGCCGCCACCTACCTCTGCGGCTGCTCTCACCCCGGGTCGGCTCACCGTTGAGCGACGGCGGCCGGCGGGACCCAGCGCCACTCGCAGGTCCCCGCAGGCAGGAGACGTCGAGCGGGCGACGCTGTGGCTGGGCCTCTGGACGTCCTCGTGGCGCTCGTATCACGGCTGCGCACAAGTGCTCGACGCCAGCCTGCAGCAGAGCTACCCAGTGTGGCCTGCAGATCCCGGGCCCGGTGCCCTCCTGCCTCCCCTGAGGGGGTAGTGTAGCC